GAGCCTTCCAAGGAGTTCCTTAATCCATGCTTTTTGTTTGGCACATCCCATTTCATGCCAGGCTAAGATTCTTTCGCAGGCTGGGGTTTGGTACTAGCAAGACGTGATGACAGGTCAGATAGAGAACAAACTAAGAGGGCCCCCAGGGAACTGGAGAGCTATGAGACAGCGGGGATGTCTGGCTTTTAATTCAGGTTAGAGTGGATTAAAAAAAAAATCCTGGAGCCAATGGGAGTCTTATACTATTTACCAATTCTCCAGAAATTTCATTCTCACATAGATTTAGGATAAACAGTAAATGGGCACTGTCAACTATTGCCACAATGACACTTTGTCATAAGCCACCCCAAAACTCAGAGGCAACAATCATTTCTTCTCAAGGAGCAGCAGATGAGCTGGGGTGGCTTTGCTTCAGATCACAGTGACCAGGCTAGCTCTGTGTCCCACGTCCCTCCTGTTTCTCCTGGGACTGGTGGGCCAAGTAAGGCATGTTCCCTTCATGGTGGTGACAGAGGGTCAGAGGGCCTGTCCTAACATGCAAGTACAGTTCACGCTCCTGCTTGTGTCATGTCTGCTGGCATCCCATTGGCCAAAGCAAGTCATGTGACTGAGCCAACGGCAAAGGCTGAGAAGAGTTCCCTGCCTTCTTGTGGGAAGGGCCGCCAAGTTACACAGCAAAGAGTGTGGATACAAGGGGTGAAGGACTGAGGATGTTAAAACAGCCTGCCCCTAGGCCTAACTGGCTCTTTGGAATTCTTGGAAATGTGCTGTCGTCTACATTCCTGGGAAGGGCTTGTCTGCAGATGAGAATCTTTTAAAAGAGAATGTGGTAACAGTTTGGTGGTTCCTGAAAAAGAGAGACATAGAGTTACCACATGATCTAGCAATTTCACTCCTAGGTGGACATCCAAAAGAATGGAAAGAAGCAACTCACACAAATGCCTGCTCACGTTCAGAGCAGCATTAGTCACAATAGCTGGAAGATGGGAACAGCCCAAATGTCCACTGACAGATGAATGGGTGAGCAAAACAAGGTACATACATACACTGGACCGTCAGTCAGCTTTAAAAAAGGAAGGACCTTCTGACCCAAGCTACACATGGATGAACCTTGAGGGAGTGAAATAAGCCAGCCGCAAAGGACAAACATCATATGATTCCACTTACATGAAGCACCTAGAGAGTTAAATTCATAGATGCAGAAAGTAGAATGGTGGTTGCCAGGGGCTAGGAGGAAGTCATTGTTTACTGGGTTCAGAGTCACATTCGGGGAAGATGAAAAAGCTGTGGAGATAGATAGCAGTGATGATTGCACAACGATGTGAATGTGCTTAACGCCACTGAATTGTGCACTTCAAGATGATTAAAGGGTAAGTTTTATGTTATGTATGTTTTACAACAATGAAAAAAAAAAAAGAGAACAGAAAATGTGGTTTCTGGGCTGGGTCGTCAGATCTTTAAAGAGACCTGGGCATCAAAGCAGCAGAGACGATGGGCAGGCCCTGCCATTGGCCCTGGTGTGAGGGTCTCTGTGTCTCAAAGATGGGGACAGAAGGAAGTATGAGTCTGGAATATGGAGATTCCATATGTTTACAAAATTTTATTTGCAGAATTAAATTCATTTGGCCAGTCTAGAAGCTTGCTAATTTTGTGGAAACTGACTCAATATTATATCCAACAAGCCATGGGAAATAGAAAGATTCAGGACCAGGGGAAGTGAAAATTAGGGTAATCTGGGGGCTGGTGAGTGTGGGTCTCTTATCTCACTTTTTATTAAGGGAATAACAGAACAGAGCCAACTAATGAAAGAGGGAGGGATTAGACTCCGCAAAGCCAGTGCAGTGACACTGAAGCCCAAACAGGTGCTTTACAGAGCTTGTCTGGGGGCGATGGAGGAAAAGATTTGATGGAAAGATGCCCAAACTTTCCTATTACAATGATTGGGTTGTTAATATTGTTTTCTGGGAAGAAAAAGCTTATGGGTGCTTCAGGAACTACCAGTTTCTAGTGGACAAGGAGCTACATTCACCTGTCCAAATATTTGTGTTTTCCTTTTTTTGTCTTCCCAAAAATCCTCTTTGAAAATATGCCAATGCCATTAATATCTCAGTGTGGTGAGAGAAGCAAGATGGTGTCTGGCTTGCATATTAGCAACTGAGGAGGTCTTCCCTTGCACAAAGGTTTCAGACCTTCATTGTTTACTCTTTTGTTCCTCTCTCTCCTGCCCCCCACCTCCACACACTTGGAGAGCCACAGATTCTAAATTGCCGTCTTTGCATGTAACAGCATTTTAGGAGCGTCTGCCTGGAAGGACAGGGTGGGCACACGCTGGGGAAGCAGCACATCGTCTGATTAGCTGTGCGTGCTGTCAGACAGGCTCTAGGCAAGTGTCTGCTCCAGACCTGGGAAGAGAACATTTTTAACTCTTCCTCTGATGACTCATTTGCTCTTTGCTCGAGGATCCTGGGCCTCGATGACTTGAGCACTGCTGGGCTCTCTGAATGGACAAACTGCCATTTTCAGCATTTCCTGGAGGTGTGGAACTAAATGTTGCTGCCTTGGCCTTGGCCTTTCCTTAGGCAAAGGTGGCCCGTGCAAGTCTGCGTATTACCAGAGTCCCAAGAACTGCAGGTCTGGGTTTCTTGCTGTGGTTCCTGAGGGCAACAGAGGCTAAAGAGATTGCAAAGCAGAACCAGCAGCAACCAAATCAAAGGCCGCGAGGTGGACAATTTACAGGGTGGCCTGTGGTCCAAGTGATGGAAAGTGAAGGGACATTTGGTGAGGCATCATCAGAGTGTCCATAATACTCAGGGAACATCACCTGCTGTTTCCAGGACCCTGTAGCCACCATCTGTTTCCCATCAATGGAAATGAATTCCTGCTTGTGCTATTCTGGTGTCATTAGGTTAAATTTCTGGTTCCCCCTCCTCTGATTCTAAACATCTGACAGGGACAGAATGGAGAATAGATCAGCTGTCCTTGCAGAGAGAAGACTTGAGGGAGTGGCTTCCTTCAAAGATCTGACAGGGATGGTGTGTTCACAGGGATGGAAAATCAAGACCTGAGAAGCCCCAAGTGGGCTATAAGGAGAGATGAGAGCATCTGTGGGGGACAGTTCACAGACTGTGATGGTTTTGAAAAATTATGGATACTCTTGGCTTATTGATCTTTTCTAAAGGAATCAATATGTGTGGGATTTAAGGATTAAAGTTTGAAGCCTTCCTTGAAAGGTAGTGAGATGGTGCTCAGACTTCCGAGCAATTTCAGAGCTAGGAGGGTGCTCGGGAAGTTATCTTATCCATTTCCTCGTCTTCATACAGGACTAACCTGGACACATGCCTCAATTCCAGATTTTTTAAAAAAAACTTCAGTTAAAAAAATTGCTTGAGGGCTGGCCTGGTGGCATAGTGGTTAAATTCGTGCACTCTGCTTTGGTGGCCTGGGGTTCGCAGCTTTAGATCCCAGGCACGCACCTAACCCTGCTGGTCAAGTCACGCTGTGGCAGCATCCCACATAAAATAGAGCAAGACTGGCAACAGATGTTAGCTCAGGGCCAATCTTCCTCATGCGCATGCACACATACATACAAATTGCTTGGCTGTATTTGCAATAACATTTATTGAGTATTTTCTATGTTCCAGGCACTTGTTCTAAGTTCTTGGCAGACATTACCTCCTACAATCCTCACCATTGCCCTAGGAGGAAGGTGCTATTATTCACATTATCTAGATGAGGAAACTGAGGCACAGAGAAGTTAAATAGCTCGCCCAGGTTCACATGTTATTCCGTTAGTGCTAAGCGGGCGGTGAAGCCCAGGTGGTCTGACTCCACAGCCCCCGCTCTGGATGGCTGCCCGGGAGCCATTCCTCACTGCCTCGTTTCGGTGCTCCTTGGCTAGTTTGGTGTCAGGCTGTGTGAGTCAGCTCAGGCTGCCCTAACAAAGCGCCACAGACTGGGGGCTTAAACAGCAGGAGTTTATTTTCTCACAGTTATGGAGGCTGGAATTCTGAAATCGAAGGGTTAGCAGGACTGATTTCTTCTGAGGCCTCTCCCCCTCGCTTGTGGATAGCTGTCTTCTCCCTCTGTCTTTACATGGCCTTCCCTCTGTGTGTGCCTGTGTCCTAGTCTCTTTTTATAAGGACACCAGTCACATTGGATTAGGGCCCACCCCAATGACCTCATTTAACCCTAATTACCTCTTTAAGACCCAATCTCTAATACAGTCACATTCTTAGGTACTGAAGGTTATGACTTCGAGATGTAAATTTTGGGAGGGGACACAATTCAGCCCATAACACAGACGGGTGGAGAATGTGGGTTCCATTGAAGACCGTAATGATCTCCTGCTCTTCTCTTTTGCCTGGGGCAACAGTCCCACAGCCTATGCTGTTTGCGTCCCAGGTCTTCTTTTCCAATTGATTAATTATCTACAATGTTCTTTTCTCCATGAGTGTGTTCAATTTCATGTCCTCCTTTGTTTTTAAGTAGTTGGATCCAAAATGAAAGCATACTATGTTTATTTACATCAAGTTTTCCTCTTTCCTCCTACTGATTCATAGATATTACCCATTCTGGGTTGGAGGAGAAAATTTAGAGTGGAAATGGAGGAGATAAAAGAGTACAAAAGAGTATGGACATTTGGAAAATAATTCTGATTTCCATCTTAACTTACCATTCAGGTTCCCCCTTAGCACTTGAGCTGGGTCCTTTTTGTCCTACGCCACATGCTGAATTACCAGACCAAAGGGTTTTCTCCTATATGTGGAAAACCATCTGGAGCCCCAGAAACCAAGAACCATAGAAACATAAGATGCCTAGGCTGAGGGAAGCTAAGAGGCTTGCTTGAGGCCTCCAGGTTGGCTAATGGCTGGGCTGAGACAGGAATCTAGGTTCCCGTTTACCACCCAATGCACAGAGTTGCCTGTTCCCTTCTGCGACCTGAGCCCTACTATATTGCTCCATTGATTAAATTATACTATTCCTTTTCTTTACTTCTTTAGGTCATCAAAGTCTGAAGAAGAGTCTGGCAATTGCTTCCCAATAGGCTCCTGGTTCTGTTTGTCTTGTTGGACTCATCGGAGAAAATGAGACACCAGCACGTGAAGTGTGTTGAAGTATTCTATTTGACAAGCCAGACTGGGCACTTTCCCATATATACAGATGGAACCATGTCTGAGGCCAACACTATCCTGAGAAATCACTTTGCCCCAAAGTGATGCAAGATGACCATTTGGAAAGGCCTCCTGGAAAAGGCGGTGGAAAGGAGAGGAAACACCGGTTTTGGAGCTCTGTTCCCATTCCTGTGGTTTATGCTGGCCTGGGCCCTTAGATTTAATTCTCTTAGAACTTTTTATGAGTTAGTAAATATGGGTTTTATCACCCATTCTGGGGTGGTTTCACAGGGGAGAAAGGGTGGGTCTATACGACCTTGGCTACCCCTAGACTCTAGTTAGTCTGAGACTCTTCCAGGGTAACTTGTAGGTTGAAGTCAGTTTTTAATACCCTCCTTCAAAGACAAAGCCAGAACCCTAGGAAGTTTCAACTCTATTACAATGTACTTGACTTGAAACTGTCACTAAACGCTGATAGTCATAAAATGCAGAGCAAGCCAGTGAGCGAGCAAGCATGCAGGAGTGAGCAAGCCACATCTGTTGAACGGTGAACCCCAAGAGTTCACTTACCCCAATTCCCTCCACAAAAGGTAACCATGGAAACCTCATAATCCAGAGCATCATCTGTCTCCAAGCAAAATACACACACACACACACACAAGCATGCCCTAGGAGGGCAGTGTGTGTGTGTGAGTATGTGTGCATGTGCTCATGTTTCACTTCTGTGGATGTGGGGTGTGTCTGTGTGATGCTTCGACAGTTTGTGTGTGTGTACATCAAATGGAATCAGCATGGGCGTTCGCTGCCACATGCTTTCCGGTTCTGCTCTCAGGGGTGGTGAAAGAGCGTAGGTTTGTCCTAATGTTTGGGTGCTGTGCTCGGAGCTGGTTAGAGCATGTGGGCGAGGACGTGCATTTTCAATTTTGTGGAGGGCAATGTGGTGGCATGGTGTGGGCATACAGGAAGCTTTGTAACTTATTTTTTTCCCCTATCAGATTTCTATTGCACGAAAGTGTCCGGGAGTTGGGTTGTCACCAGCTGGGCAGTATCATTCCCCTGGGATGGGAGAACTCAGCGTGGATCCATATTGAGCTTCTCAAATGATCTAGTGTGGATGCAAATTCAGGTTTGGGGGTTATCATTTTTACAAAGCAGCGTCTTTTCGTCAGGGTGTGTGCTGGTTTTTTCTTTTTTCCCTTCTAACTTTTTTGCTTTAAACCTTTCCCTTTTTCTGGAGCCTGGGGTAGCCTGCATATGGCATGGGGGATATGAGAATGTGGCACTTGGGAAGGGGGTGGTGAGGACAACTATTGGAAGTCTGCTAATGAAATGTGTCATTCAGTATGTGCATCATATCAAGATGGTGTGTCACTTGGCAGATCTTTGAGGGTAAGGCACTCCATCTGCATTAAGGATTATTTGGGGAAAAAGCTATATGAAGGCTGGGGCCTCAGGTAGGCATGCCTGGGTTTCTGGGTTAGGAATGGGGGCTTCCCACCGTGCAAACCTGGCCCTGAGCTTCAGGCTGTCTCAACTCAATGGCAGCTCCATGCACACAGGTATAAGGGCTTAGGTGGTGTCTGAGTGTCGATCAGCTCTGTCCCTCCCCCTTTCTGTAATATATGAATGAAAGAGAATTCTTTAGGGAGCATGAGGAAGAAAGCCTTGTCTTCTGAATTCTTGCTTTTCATTCACATTTCCAGTTAAGGTGTCTCAAATGGATAGGTCTTGTTTGTCCATAAAAGATCACTGTCAAAAGAGTATTTTCTTTTTTCTTTTTAAAGCAGTTGCTTCCTGGATGACAGAAATCCACACTGGCATCTCCCAGCAGGGGCCTGAACCACTGCCCACATCCTCCCTGACTCCTCCGCTGATGGCCCCTCTGCCTCTGGCAGCACCACCTCAGCCTCCATCTGCTTTCCTCTCGGCCCTGCTCCCAGAAGAAAGCAGTCAGGCTAAAGGGCTACAAGATATTTGCTGTCAGGCTGTTGCCTGAGGCTCTGACACCTTGGAGGGAACTTCCAATGCTGCATGGGTAAGAGTTACTTTTTGAGTGTGCACAAACGGTGCTGGAGCAACCCGGAGACGGGCTGAAGGGAACCATCCCATTGGTGTTGTTCACGTCCCCATTCCTGCTGGAGCCCATCCTCGGTCCCTCCAGGAGCTATTTCCACTCTGGACTGTCCCCACCAAAATGTCTGAAAGGGCCTCTTGCCCTTGGCTCACCACCTCATCAAAACAGTTTGGAGAGGAGGGCTCCTTCACCCCATCCATGGTGTAGAGGCGAGGCGGGGACTCCAACGGGCTCCCGCTCTGGCTTCCTCACCTGTGCCCCTTCTGGGGGGTGTCTTGAGTTTTTAACAAGCAGCCATTCAGAAACCTGTCGTTTGAGGTTATTTACTATTTCATTCAACTGCTACTTAAGTGTCTCCCAAACGGCAGCCAGCGGGGTACAGCAATGAAGGAGGCACTCTTTTTCCCATGGTGTGGAGGAACCCACAATACAGTGAGGTAAGGTATAATAGGGGTTAACCTGGGGCATTATGGGAGCTGATAAGCGGGGCAAGGGGGCTTCTTAGAGGAACTGATGTCTGATCTGCAACCTGAGGATGAGGGGGGATTAGCTTGGTAAAGGGAGGTAATAAGACACTTTCCAACAAAGGAGAATGAGATATTTATTAAAAATAGGTGAAACTTTGGGCCAGGCCCAGTGGCCTAGTGGTTAAGTTTGGTGCACTCCACTTTGGCAGCCCTGGTTCAGTTCCCAAGCATGGACCTCCACCACTCTGTTAGTGGTCATGCTGTGCTGGGTGGCCCACATACTGAAAAATGGCAGAAGATTCACATGAATGTTAACTCAGGGCAAATCTTCCTCAGCAACAAAAAAAGTAAAACCTGATAGCAAACGGCATTCATGAGACAGAAAAAATGAGAAAGAGAGAAAGATGGAGAAACATAGCAACAAACAAAGAGGCAGACAGATGGAGAGACAGAGATAGCCAGAGAGAGATGAAAGGCTGAGGGTGGAGAGATGACAGAGACAGAGAGAGGACCATAGAGTCATGGACTGTTAGAGCTGGAGGGAACCACAGTGAATGTCATTTTACAGTAGGAAAATAAGGCAAAGAAGGGCATTTGCCAGAGTCATAAAAGTGTTTAGTTGGAATGCCAAGTCAGGAACCTCGATCTCCTAACTTGCAATAGGTTTGAGAGAGGAAGAGATAGAGAGGGATAAGATGAGGAGAGAGGGAAGTCAGAGATGGAGGAGAAGACAGCTAGGGAGAGGCACAGAGAGCTGAGATTCGCTGGCCTCACACTGTCAGGATTACCATGTGGAGTGAAAGCAGAGAAAGTTTAGATGCTGTTTGAGCTGGGTTTCTTTCTTGTCCTTTCTCCTTTACCATGCTCTCTCTCCCTCTCTTTCCCCTTCCAACCACATCCTGCCTACCAGTAGATGTCAGGGAACTGGTTGCCATGGCTACTAAATGGCATTCAAGCAGGCTGAATTATTAAACCCGGGTCTTTTCTTTGAAGCCAGGGCCCCAGTGCGAAGTCCCGTTAGGGGGCGCAATACAGGTGTGGGTCTGTGCCACGGCTGTCCAAGGTGCACCCTTGCTGGTCCGGTGAAGAGAAGAGAGTGCGTCTTGAGCGCTGAGCTCTTTTCCCCGCTGGGTCCAGCAGAGGCCTGGCAGCAGGGAGGAGATGCGTCTGCCGGGGTGAAGAGCTGGAGAGACATGCCTTGTGCACTGAACTGAATCCCTGCATCCCAGCCTACTTCTCCCACCCGCTCTGCCTAGAACAAAAGGCACTGGACAGCAGCCACGACTCATTCAAATGGAAGAAAACCCAAAACCAACATTTGTGTTATGTCTGAAAGGACACCATATTGTTCTAATTAGTGGAAAGAGATGCAAGAAATAAAATCATAGGTGTGTCCGAGGGGTTGTCCTCGGGCATCTGGGATTCTGATGCCTTCTTGGACAGGTGAAGGGACTCTATCGTGGAACCACACAGTTGATGGGCATGGCCCTCTCCCAAGAGCATGAATGGGCCATCACAGAGAGTCTTGTTTGTGGGCACAATTCTTGTTTGTTTTGATGATGGTGGGGGGTGAGTATGGATGCTCTTCTCTCAAGGAGATTCTACGCCAGGAAAACCATCAGCCTTCTGGTATCCTAGCTCTTTAAACTTTTCCATTATTAAAAGAAACCCAAACATTGTAGTGTGGATGCTCCTGCTTATAGGCTGATGGAAGAAGGGCCTCAGTGGCTGGTAACTGCACTGTGTACACGTGTTGGGGTGGAGTGGGGGGCGTGAAGAGTCCATTTTGGGCTAATGGAGTCATTCCTCTTCCACAGATTCGACAGGTTGTGAGGTTAATTTCCTAAAGTGGGTAAACCTCTCCCTCTTCCTCCCCACTTTGTGTTTCTTCTCCCTTGAGAGGAGGGCTACTGATGCCCCAGGCCCTAGGATTCTGGCTTCCCTTTGGGCAGGGCCCAAGATCTCCTCCACAAGAGAGGGTCCCACTGTATTCTGATGCTTGAACTGAAAAAAAAGTTCTTAATAAGGGAAACCAGATCTGTGAGACTTTCCAAAAACCTGTCAGCCTCTGAAAAACTGTGCAGCCTTGCTTTGTTTCCCAGTGCCCAGCTGGAGCACTTTTTAATATCAGGGCTAAAGGCCTGGTGTTCCAAAAGTCTAATTCATAGAGACCAGACTCACTCCTTTTCAGGGTAGGTGATAATTTCAGGATTTACCTGACCCTGGGGTGGAAGTCCTGGGTCCTCACTGAGTGACCCTCCCAAGCAGACTCTCTGGGGTGAAGTGGGAACTAGCAAAGAGGCTGCACAGGCCTTGGTCTTCACTTGCTTTCCACACCCCAAGCTAAGAGGAAGGGGACAGGAGCCTGTGGCCTTGTGGCTATTTAGTTCCTTTCTAGGAATGTTTTCCAAGGTGTGCCAGGCCCTGGGCGGGCACGGTGTACGGGTGCAAAGTTGACTAAATAGAATCCCTGCTCTTAGCCATGGGAAGCTCTCCGCTAAGAAGGAAAGGCTGACCACCCTCCATCAACTGTGGCATCCCCCGGCTCAGCCTTCAGAGGTTTTGCTGGTCTGTGTCAAAGCCAGGCCTACAGAACAAGAGCGGCGAGTGAGGGAACCCTTCCTTTGCTCTTTTTCCTCCTTCCCTACTTCTTCCTTTCTGTTTCTCTTCTTGCCCCTTTTGATCCATCCTACTGCCCCCCGCCCCCTTTCTCTGAGGCCTTTCTGTGCTCGGATTCTGAGCTTTTGGTGGAGGCTGGGCAGCTACTTAGAGCCAGCTGGTGAAGCCCGTGGGGGACCTACTTGGACTGAAGAGATGGGCCGGTGGGACCAAGGTCTTGGCCAGCAAGGGCTCTGGGAAGCTTTTCCGCTGTTTTTGAGGAAAGATATGCAGAGAGCCAGAGAAATGGGAGAGAGGGAGCCCTCGGAGGGATTCGGGTCCAGAAAGCCTTTGGAACACCAGTTTGACTCAGTTTTTAGGGCTGTTTATTTTTTGTGCTCCTTAACTGCCCCCCGGCGAACATGATCTCCCTTAGAGCCTTCACCCGGCCCCTGGCGTCCTCGGAGAGCCTCTAGGTCCCTCCAGAGGCACAGAGATGCTCCCTACCGGGGCTGGGGCCCCCTGTCCTCGGGCAGCATCTGGCTCAGCGACTGGTCCCCTCTCCCTTATCTTGATCCTCAAAGCCCCCAGTTCGCTTCTGTTCTCTTTGGATATAATCATGCTCTTCCATCAAGGGTTTCCCAGGCCCAGCGAGCCAGGCGGCTGGGACCCTGGAGCCGGTGAGGTCCCCAGCAGGACACTGGGAGGTGCCACTCCTACCCACAAACGGGAAATCGCCTGTGCAAGTTTGAGGTCGCTGAACTTTCCCACAGAAACCCTGACCTAACTTCCTCGCCCCTGGGCTGTTTACTACTCAGAGCCCCGCACGCACGCTGTAACCCAGCCGGGGGCTGCCCCGCCCAGCCTCACCGGGCGCGCTCACGCCGCGTTCGTCTCCGCACAGCCGCCCGCTCGCTCCGCGTCGCCGGGGCTGCCCGTGGCTGGACCGCGATCGCTTCCTCCGAGCGGACACTACACCAGGCTCCCCGTCTCCTTTGTTAGCCCCGGTCTGCCCCCTCTGGGGGCATGTGTGCGACTTCTCTTTCTAATTGTCAGAAATTTGTTTTCCACTGTGTGGGCAGGAGACATTTTTTTTTTAACTGTCTCCCTTCTCTTTATTTTATTTTCCGTTTCTCTACCTTACCTCCTTCGGCCTTTCTTCCCCGCTTCTTTCTGTTGATTGCTCTTTCTCCCCTCTTCAATTTCACCATCTTTCCTCCCCGCTCTCTCCGTCCCCCTCCCCCACCGTTTCCTCTTTTAAAATAATTCAATGATGTCTCGGGATTACTAGCACACTCTCCTCATTCAGCTGAGCGCGGGACTCTGCATTAATTCAAGGTAAGCCCCGGGTCTTGCTGCCCAGGAAATGGTTGTCTGCGCCCTGGCGCCCGCTGCCTGCGGGGCTTTGCTGCTCTCCCCGGTGGCAGGCGCCGCGCCTCCGGCTCCGTGTCCCCGGTGGTGCTGCTACCTGTTGGGGGATGCATGGACTGTGGAGATTCCTAGTTGGCCCAGAGTGTACCCTAAGCCGATTCTTCCTCTGCACCCGCTGCCCTTTCCTTTGCAACTTCCGTGGCAATTTCCCGGGCCTGGGAAAGCCCCGCAGCGTTTGGCGTTTTGGGATGGGAGTGGTGTGCCCCTTGCCGGGGCGCCCAGGGCTGGCATCTCGTTCGTTGTGGCGCGTGTGCTTAGCTCACAGCCCGAGAGGCTCGCGCTGCCCGGTTCGGAGCAGGTGCTGACCTTCGGGTCTCCACGAGCCTCGGGGCCTCCTGCCACCCTGCCGCGACTCCTGGTGCCGGGAAGTTTTGTGGGGGGACCACTCAAGGGGAGGGCTTGCTGAGCAGGGGCTGAGCTTCCAGCGAAGTTTCTGTGAAGGAAGCTGCGTGCCACCCTTGGAGGCGTCCCGGGACTGGTGGAGGGTAGACTGCGTGTCTTTGGGGCCCCGGGTTGGGCGGGGAGGCGAGTGGACCCCATCATGGCCAAGGGCTGGGAATTGGGGCTCAGAGGAGAGAGGCGAGTGCGGAGAAGAAGCCGGGCTACTTAGAGTGACTTGCTTTTTGACGGGATTCGGGTCTCACTGCCCCAGGGTGGTTGTGTGTCCTTTTCCAGGGATGGAATGCCCGGTTCTCTGCACCTGTTTGCTTGTGCCGGTGCCCAGGAGAGAATGATGGGAGACACTACCCCTTCGTCCCCCACGTCCCCTTGAGATGGAGGCTTCCACCTCGCTCTGGGGACGAGGTGGTAGTTTGGCCACTTGCCCAAGGAGGCATCTTCCCTCTCAACGGGTCTGTGACTCCGTGGCAGCTCAGAGCGGGCAGTTCAGGCTGCGTGGGTGGGTGGGTGACCCAGATCTGAGGGCTTGTGGTGATTCACCTGCTCTTCCCTCTGGAGGCTATGGTGCTGGAACATTGATTCCTACTTACTCTTGGAGGCCAAGAACTGTACCGTGTCACAGAGACATTGTCATCAGAGGAAAGGCTAGAGGAGCCGGAACAGCTTAGTCCAGAGAAGAGGCTGTGAGACCTGAACCCAGAGAAGTGTTTTCATGCAAGGAAAGGATGTTTCTGACACTTAAGTAAGAGCATTGCTTTATCTCCATCGACATCAGAGCCAGAGAAAAGGGCTTTCTTCACTGGGGCTGGGGACTAGGGTAGATAGCAGGGGAAAACTTCCGGTTGACAGATCCAAAAGGAATTACTAATGGAAAATATAGAACTTCCTCTCCTGCAAATGTGTGGGTCTTGTGGGATTGTGCAGCCATCCTAGAAGAAGATGACCTTTTCTAGTTTGATTCCATTCTCCTGTTCTCTCATATGCTAAGTCTCTGAGCAGCTAAGATGTTTTTGCCACTTTGTGGTATTGGGTAATCATAATTTATCATCCAAGCTGGGACACTTTTGAAAGTGCACAAAGGCGTTAGTAATAATTACACATGGATAATAGAGACTGTCTAGACAGATGGGGATGAATAACTGCCCTGAGAGTGACTTTATGGCCATAGCTAGGGACAGTTCACGAGGCAACACACAGATGCTTTCCTGTCATTGGGATCTTACGTCTTCCTTCTTGGTGTGGTGCTTCCTGACTCAGACCTCAATTGGACTTTACTGGGTTCCCTCTGAGAATCCAGCTCTGAATACAAATCTCTTTCCTTTAATGAACTTCTCTTTCCCCAACTCCTCCAGTCCCTCCAGAAATCTCATTCTCAGAACCGCGCTTCCAGCTCTGACTGCAGGGCTTAGAAATAGGGGGTAATTTACGCAGAGCTGTTTCTAGCCCTGTGTCTACTTCCTTATGGTATTTATGAGCCTGGGGCTCCCCAGAGGCCATCTTTCTGCCAGGAATTGTGAGTGTTGTGTTGATGGCAGCTTGATATATAGTGACCCTCGCAGTCACACGGTTGAGCTATTAGATCACTGCTGTCATAACTCCTCAGCTCTCCTGAGGCTGGGGGTGGGATGTGTTGTTGGGTGCGAGAGAGGAGAAGGGAGAGGAAAGAATCCTCAATGTGTTTGGGTTTCAAACTGACAAACTCATGTTCAAGAAGCATCGTATTGCAGGGAAATGCCTGGCTTTTACTTCCTTGCTTGTGTGAGGGAGTGATGAGGATTCTTAGGGGATGTGTCAGTCACACCTCCATCCCCCTGGGAGCCCGTGGGTTTGCCAGACAGCCAAATCCCTGCCGGGCTTCAAAAAGCTTAGCTACCATTTATTGAGTGCTTATTATTCTCCAGACACTAAACCAAGCAGTCTCTAGACTTTATCATACTTCGTCTTTATCCAACCCTATTAAGTAGGTATTCCCATTCTATAGGTGAGGAGACTGAAGCTCGGAAAAGTGAGTTGCTCAAGTTTACTTAGTAAGGGGCAGAGCTGTGATTCAAACCCAAGGCTAGCTGACTCCCTCCATGCAAAGGTGCCTCTTTGTGCTGAAGTTGACGTGGTCAGTGTCTGGCTCACAGATTTAGTCCCACCTGTTCGGGGCCATGGGTGTGATAGACAGTTCCAGAGTCGGGTGGCTTGAGCAGTCCACTTGTCCATCCTGCCTGGTTCTTGACTCGTGTTCAGTGAGTCTGATTGTCTCAGAGGGTGACCATGGCCTAGCCATGGCATGAGCCTCCCCACTTGGTTTGCCCTGAAGTGATTCTGTAGACCAGCAGGGGAACCTGAGCATACCCAGCTGACCGTGTCTTGGTTAGGTCCCTCAGATCATTTCTCTATCGTGCAGGCAAAAATAGAGCCTTAGATAGATAATTCTAGACATTGTTTCCATCTATTCATCTTTCCTGTTTACCCTGAGGCACTATAATCAGCCAGACCAAGAACGGCAGGCCTAGGGGGAAAGGGGACAGTATCAGGTGGCGGTGGGGTAGATAACAGAGCATTGGCTGGGAGACTTGACTTCTAGCCCTGACTGGGCCCCATTAAGTAGCCATGTGACCTTGGGCAAGTCACTAACCACCCAAGACCTCATTTATCTTGCCTGAAAGTGAAGGTTGGGCAGGTGCTCCCCAAGTTCTTCCCAGTTCCCGCAGTTTAAGACCCTATGGTTCAGGTGGCTTTGCACTCTGCTCTGCAAATCCAAGGCAGAGCCACGCCTCTCTTCCCCTCTCTTGGTGGGGGGTAGGCGAGCCGATGGGGCTGATGGATAGATGGATAGCGGTTAGATGGAGGGGCCGTGCAAGAGGCATCCTGGGGAGGGGCAGTGACTGCCCTTGGTCTGTTGTGGGCAGGCTTCAGCCCAGGTCTGGTCTGGAAAAGGGGGGTGGCTTATCTGGCCAGGGGAGAGCCTTCTCTCCTGCCTGCCTTGTGTTCCCTTGCATCCGCAATAAGTGACAGAGAATTGGGAAGAGCAGGAAATTCAACACTCCGCTAACCAACATCTAAAATATGCCCTGAATGCTGCGCTAAGCACTCGGGGATGGGTGGGGGCGGGAGGCAGGGCAATGAGAGAAGGTGGTCTACAAAAAGAGAAAAAAAGGAGGCACAATCTTTGTCCTCATAGCGCTTAGACTGTGGTGGGGAGCCTGGATCTAGGGCGTTGGATGAAGTATACATGCGACAAACTATAAAGCCATGTGGAACCAAAAAGCCCATTACAAAGCCATTTGTTACAGTAAAGAGTTGGTTACGTGCAAATCATGTACCTTCCTGGCAGAAGCGAAGACATGTGGTGGCTTTCTCACTGTGACCTGGAAAACTTGTATTAGAGGTGTAGTCCTCGTCATTAATGTGAGGGTCTAAAGGGTTCTGTGGTCAGCTGTACACACATAGTCTTAGGGGAACTGCAATGAAGGAGATTCTAGAACAGAATTGGGCTTTACTGAGGAAAGGTCTTTCCATTTATGTTCATATGGAATTACTTGGGAAGATCCATCCTCTGGAGTCATAGAGCTTTTATAACTACATTGACCACACTTAAAAAAAAATTTTCCCCCTGTAAACACTAGCCTGGGATTGGGATAAAGAGAGAATGTTCCAGATTCTCAGCATAGGCTTAGCAATGGCAGCAGCAGCTGAATGGGTGTTAGGGGAGGGCACAGACAGCTGGAGAGCACCAGCAGGAAGGTGCCATGCTGTCTTGGATATGAGTACAGCAGCCTGTGGCAGGGCAACGTGTTCATCCCTGTGGGTTTTCCTATAATTTCTAACTTGGGGAACACAGTCTAGGGCTACACTCATAGGCACACTCTTTAATGATGGAAATATCAGTGTTGTTGCAAAAACGCAACTTGATGTCTGTGTCTTCTGAACTGCAGAGGGTACCTGTGTTTATGCCTCTCCTGTGCATCTTTTGGGGTTACCCCCTTTCTCATGAACCAAATGGGGACATGGCCTTTTGCTAGGAGGAATGGGAAAATAAAGATAAAAATGACATGGTTCTCACTCTCAAATAATTGATTTTTAGCTCTAAGTATAATACTTTGAAGAAGTCTTTGTTTCTTTTACCAAATTATGTGTTGTCTGACCATAGTGGATCTGGTCTTGCTCCAGTCCTTGCTGGCTACAGACCTTGGGCAACTCACTTAACTGCCGGGGCCTCAGCTACTTTACCAATACCCAGGACCAGTACCCCATCTTTCAGAGAAGGGGCCTGGACCCTATGGTTGCTTGCAGCCCCTTCCCATTTTAAGAGCAATGACTGTTCTATGATTTTGTCTCCCATCCCTTCTCTCTCCCCCTCCCTTTATTCTTTGTCTTTCCTTCTTACCTAGTCACACAATAGAATTTTTTTTGTTTGCTATATTTACTGAATAAGAATTTTATTCTTTGTTCTTAATTTAAAAAGTCATGAAGAACATTGTATTATTCTGCCTCCTAAAAGAAAGTGAACTGAATCT